TTGGCTGGCTTTTTTTCCCTTTCGGCACTTTGAATGTATCATGCTATGCCCCCTTTGGCTGTCAGTATTTTTGCTGAGAAATCTGTGAAATGGGGGCTGCTTAATAATCCCATCATCCTAAATCAACTTGTTTATCAAGGATTTGTGTTCTGAAGGAGAGAAGAAAGCGCTGAGTTTTAAGAAACCCAAAAGGTCTTTTTTTTTTTTTTTAAGATTGTATTTAATTTTTAGAGAGAGGGAAAGGGAGGGAGGAAGAGAGGGAGAGAAACATCAATTGGTTGCCTCTTAACAAACCCCAACAGGGGACCTGGCCTGAAACCCAGGCATGTGCCTGGCTGAAATTGAACTGGTGACCTTTCAGTTTGCAGGCTGACACTCACCCCACCGAGCCACACCAGCCAGGGCAGAAACCCAAAAGGTCTTGATTCAGTAAATTACAGGGCACTTATCAGCTTATTTTAAATTTAAAATGAAATCAGAGCATTTATTCTCTTTTCTACCTCTGTACTGTAGAAAGCCCAAGAGCAGAGCCATCAAGGGCTCATAGTGACCTCTCAAGTGTATATATATATATACATATATATACACACATACACATATATATATATATATAACTTCAGTAGGAAAACAATAGTTCATACTTTATGTAAAAAATTTTTTCACACCTATGTATCTATATATCTTTTCCTAATGAAGTAACACCTAGTTTATGTTTTTCCCATTGATCTGTGGATTTAATTTGTGTTATAATATATTCAAAAACTAAGCCTAAGGTTAGTATAGTTTTCTGCACTCCAAGTGTGTTCTTTGTTTGTTACTGTTCAATTACAGTTGTCCCCATTTTCCCCCATCACTCTCCCCTGCCCTACCCATCCCCACCTCCCACATTCCATCCTCCCCCTACACCCCATTGTCTTTGTCCAGGGAGCCTTTATACATGTTCCTTGACTTTAAGCCTAAGATGATTTACTGTAAAAATTTCCCATTTTGTGTTTTCATTTCTGATCTTGCCAGAGAAAATAGGTACCTTTACATACTTCTTTAGTTCTAAGGCTCATAAAGGAACCACACTCTTTAGCATAAATAGAGTACTTTATTTCTTTCCTGACAATATAATTAAAACAGTTGTTTAAAAGCCATAGGACTAAATAAATTATTTTATAAAATGCCACTAAGTGTACTGATTGCCCTTCCCAGAACTAAGCATCTGTCAAAGCGTCTGGGTAGACATCTTCCCAGAAGAGGTGATTCACTGAGACATGTACGGACAATCTAAGATAACCTTTTATTTCTAATTTAAACGGGGAATAAGAAGCCAATTCAAACATTTGTCTCCTTTCATTAGCTCAAGGTGAGGATGATGAAACTTCTGTTGTAATAGAGCCCCAGCAATTGTTAAAAAATCATAAATTCTGGCTGTGTGTTGTTAGTCTTTAACCATTATATACATAGCTCTAAATACTGCCCTCACATAATATGGTCAGGCTCGTTAATGAATTAATTTTTAACTGTTACATTTTTGTTGGTAGGGTTAAGATTTTTTCCTTCTTGAAATCGAATTAAAGTAAATGCCTTCTAAGTTAAGAAGGAATAGGAGTTCTAAGATTACAGCATATAAAAGAAGTTCACCAAGTTTCTGAGCAAAAAAACTGAAATGCACTCTAAGAAAAATAAAATTTTTGTGTATTCAAGTAGTTTCTTGCTCATAGTAGGTATTCATTCAATAATTTTGAGTGGAATTAAAAAAAATAGCTTTGCTGTGGCCAGTGTGGCTTATAGGTGGTTTGATCGTCATCCTGTAGACTGAAAGGGCACAAGTTTGAGTCTCAGTCAGGGCACATAACAAAGTTGGGTGGGTTTGAGCTCTGATCGGAGTGCGTACAAGAAGGTAACCAATTGATGCTTTGCTCTCACATCGACGTTTTTCTCTCTCTCTCTCTCTCTTTTCTCCCTCTTCTTCTCACTCTCTCTAAAAGCAATGAAAAAAATGTCCTCAGTTGAGGATAAAAAAGTTTTTAAATAAAAATTGTTTATTAAGATATACTTTATGTGCCACATAATTAGATCAAAGTGTGCCCTACAATGACTTTTAGTGTATTTACAGAGTTGTGCAAACATAATTTAGAATAATTTGAGAACATTTTTATCTCTCCTCCAAAGAAACCTTGTACCCATTAGCAATCCCACCTTATTTTTCCTGCAGATTCCTAATCCTAAGCAATTACCTTTTACAATTAGAGTTTTGTAAATAGATTTGTCTATTCTGGACCTTTTATATAAATGGAATCATACAATAATTGGTCTTTTGTGACTGGCTTATTTCACTTCACATAATATTTTCAAGTTTTATCCATATTGATTCCTTTTCCTTTTTATGGCCAAATAACATTACATTGTATGGTTACACTACATTTTATTTATTCATTCATCAGTTGATGGACATTTTGGATTGTTTCTGCTATTTGGCTGTTCTGAATTATGCTGCATGAACATTTACATTCATGTTTTGTGTGGATACATGTTTTTCTTTTTGGTAGATCATATGTTAATTCTCTTTAGCCATTTGAGAAACTCCCAGACTGTTTTCTGAAGGGTTTGCACCATTTTACATTTCCACTGGCCGTATATGAAGGACTCAATCTCTCCACATGCTTGCCTATACTTGCTATTGTCTGTTTTGTTTTTGTTTTTTTTTTTGATAATAGGCATTCTGTTGGGTGTGAAGTTGTATATCATTCTGATTTTGATTTTTATTGATGTCAAGGCTAATGATGGTTGAGTATCTTTTTGTCTCTTTGTTGGCCATTTACCTTCAGAGAAATATCTATTCAGCTTCTTTGCTCTTTTAAAATTGGGTTATTTTTCCTTTTATTATTGAGTTAAAAGAATTCTGTATATATTCTGGATACAAATTCCTTATTAAGTACATGATTTGCAAATGTTTTCTCCCATTTTAAGGGTTGTCTTTATTTTTCTTTATAGTATCTTTTGACAAATATTTTTAACTTAATTAAATCTATGTTTTCCTTTTGTTGCTTGTGATTTTGTTGTCACATCTGAAAAAGGCTTTGACTAACCTAAGGTCACAAAAATTTACTCCTATAGTAGTTACATGTGAATTTGTGACTATGTGGGAAGTTGATGTGTTCTTTTAGGGTCAACTGTATTTTTCTGAAGTCATACTTTTAGATCTTACATTTTGCTCTAAAATCTATTTTGAGTTCACATTCACATGTGGTGTGAGTAAGGGACCCAAATTTATTCTTTTGCATGTAAATATCTGGTTGTTGAGACCCACCACCAGTTTTCAAAGAACCTTTTCTTTCCCCAGTATATTTTCTTTGCATTTTTGTCGAAAATCAATTTAACATCAATATAAGGATTTATTTTTGGACTCTTGAGGTTTTTTTTTTTTATTCGTCTATATTTATATTTTTATACCAGTATCATACTGTGGCTTTATATTAAAATTTGAAATTGAGAAGTTTTAGTTCTCAGGCTTTGTTCTATTTTTTTAAAGATTATTTTGGCTAGTTAGTTTTGTTGATTAGATTCTACTTGTAGGTGACATCAGGATTAACAGTGGGAATGAGAGGTGGGGTGGGTGGGGGGGCAATAGGGGAAATTTTGGGACAAGTGTAACAACAAACAATAAAATAAAAAGGAAAATAAATCCTCACATTAAAAAAATAATGAAAAATAAAAAAGATTATTTTGGCTATTTGGGGTCCCTTGCTGTTCAATATGAATTTCACAATTATTTCCTTAATTTTGCCAAAGATGGCAGTTGGTGTTTGAGTAGGGATTGCATTGAGTCTGTAGGTCTACTTGGGAAATATTACTATTTTAACATTATTAAGTCTTCTGATTCACAGATGAATTGCTTTTCACATTTCACTGTGTTATGCATAGTGATTGAAATGGGACCTTACTTACTAACCCTTCCCACCTTACAACTGATTTTAAGCATTTCATATTGGAATAACATAACTGAATATTTCAATATGTGGAATTATTTTATTATTTATATATCCTAAGTATTAGCTGCTCATTAGAACTGTAAATTTCTTTGGGACAGTATATATCTTAACTAACTTTGTGTTGCTGAGAGTAAATATATCATATCATAGTTGTTTAAGGAAAAAAACACATTATTTTGATTGGTGTTTGGAAGCTAATTTTATTTTTTATTATTATTTTTTAATTAATTTTATTTAGTTATTTTTCAAGTACAGTTTTTTGTCTATTTCTCTCATCCCAGCCTCCCCCACTCCTTGCTCCCCACCTCCCTCCCATTTCCACCCCCCTTAGTTCTCGTCCCTGTGTCCTTCCTATTTGTTCCTCCAAGTCCCTCCCCCTTTTTCCCCTTAACTTCCCTTCCTTTTCCCCTCTGGTCACTGTCCCCTTGTTCTCTATTTCAGTGTCTTTGTTTTGTTTTTTTTTCCTGCTTGCTTGTTTGTTTTGTTATTTAGCTTCCTGTTAAAGGTGAGATTATATGGTATTTGTCTTTCAATGCCTGGCCTATTTCACTCAGCATAATGCTTTCCAGTTCCATCCATGTTGTTGCAAAGGGTAGTAGCTCCTTCTTTCTCTCTGCTGCATAGAATTCCATTGTGTATATGTACCACAATTTTTTGATCCATTCATTTACTGATGGGCACCTAGGTTGCTTCCAACTCTTGGCTATTGTAAATTGTGCTGCTATGAACATTGTGGTGCATAGGTTCTTTGATATTGATGTTTTAGGATTCTTAGGATATAATCCCAGCAGTGGAATTGCTGGGTCAAAAGGCAGGTCGATTTTTATTTTTGGAAGCTAATTTTAAAAGAGAATATTAGTGGTACTATAAAATTACCATTAACACATTGCTAACTTAGTTTTTAATCTTCCAATTGATGTATAATTTATATTTATTTTACTCCTCTGAATAAAAATGAAATAATTGCTTTATAGATTGATTCATTAGGCATAGTTAATATCTTCTTTAAATTCACTTTAGGTACCAAATTTGATTCCAGTTTTGATGTTCAAATTGGGAAGACCACTGGAACCTGTATTATACAATGATATTTTATATACTTTACCTGCACTTGGTGTTCACAAGGTTTGTATATTAACCAATTTACTTCAGGGCAAAAAGAAAGTAAGGCATGAGTAATGCACTTAATTTTGGTTGTAATCATATGAAATTTAGAGTCCTTAATTTTGCTGTGATTACTGCTTCCCTTGTTGGGCCGAAAGTATTCATTAAAATTGGTAAAAAAATTATTTTAAATCAATAGAAAAATTTTTCCATTGGCTGTTATCTGAAGTAAGGTCTTCATATTCTCAGGATTGGTAGGTAACCCTTCCTAAGACTATCCCCAACCTTTGAGAAGATGGGTAAGACTATAGTAAGCTTCCATTTAGGTCTTTATTTCATAATAAAGGGTTTTAAAAATCTCTTGGTAACTTTAGGATTATCTACATTTACATTTATGAAACCTAAATTTTAAAAATATTTTCTAGGTTTGCATAGGACAAATTCTACGAGTAATCCAACTTCTTGGAACCACTCCACAACTAAGGGCTGTCACTTTGCGCTTGTTGACATCTTTGTGGGAGAAGCAGGTATGCTCAGACATATACTTGTGTACTAAACATGTTTCTTTTAGTGAAGGAAACTAATTTGCATCATTATGTGTGATGGGACTTTGATATAGTAGTACTGTGTGACATCAGTGATTGCATTTGAGAAATTTTGATTTAGCATGACACCTTTGATCAGTAATGCAGTCAGTTGTGATTGACTCTCAGAGAGAAACCGAGAATAGAACATAATCTTATTTCTTTAATTCTGAAATTTAGTTTTCCATTTGTGTGGAAAAAGTAACAGAAATATGATTATAAGTGATTAGAGCCTTTGTCATTAGGGTTTGATTTAGCCACTTTTTTCTTGTTTTATGAAATGAACAGTACATGGGACTGTAAGAAATCCCTAGTAATCACAACAGCATTCTTCTCTGCTGATTAGAAGAAATACATTATAATTTGCAATGCAGATGGGAAATTGGAAGATGAAAATGCTGCATAAAAGTAGATAATGATTATTCTACTCAAATTGGGAAATTACCTTTTTTTTTAAATTGTCTTGGTAGGATCGTGTCTATCCTGAACTTCAGCGGTTCATGGCCATGTCCAATACGCCCTCTCTGTCTGTGGGCAAGGAAGTCCAGTGGGAAAAACTGATTGCTAAAGCAGCATCGATCAGAGACATATGTAAGCAAAGGTAAGATGTGTTTAATTAACCCTTGGGAACATATACCATGATACTATTATTTTGCATTTATTTTTTTATTTGCAAGCAAGCCTCTAGGAAAGATAAGCAGAAAATATTTGATTAATATTTTAATTTTAAGTTTAAGTTTTCTGATGGTAAAATTTAGCAATATTGGAAAATAACTTTGGGAAGCAAGTATGTCTTTTCATTTCAGGCCTAGTCTTATAGCTGATCTAGCTTTATAAGATATTTATATCTTTTTTGGGATAGCAATTTAGTATTATAATAAAACATGTTATATATTTTTTTATTTTTCTCTATATAAATCATTGAAACCTAAGCAGTTTTGTCAAAGATTGAATATTCACTTTTAGAGAGTTTTGAAGGAGTGAAGCAAGACCTTCTAGTTTATACATTTTTTGTAGAGGGAAATCAAACTGTTCTTACATTCTTGTATGTTATGTCTGATTTTTATCTAGTTTTAATTGAGAAGACCGTATTGGTGATTTATTGCAGGGAATTAATTGTTAGGAATTATTACAAGGAAGGACATGATCTTGAATTTCCATGTGAACTATAGGGTTTAGAAAAACATGCAGCTATTAGGGAGATGACTCTGCTGTTCCAGGGGATGAACTGATAAACAGGAAGGAGGGGACAAGACTGCAATAACACTAAGCGAAGCTCCAGTTTGCCAGATTTTTTTTTCTTTAAGAGAGCAAGGTAAAAATATTTAGGGAGGAAATAGATTTGACACATTTGAAATGAGCTATAATCCTGCCACTGCATGTGTTTAGCCACTGCACTGTAGAATTCCTGGGACCATCACTGCATTTGTCAATACTGACCCTGTGAATGCCTTTCCTAAAGTTGTGCAATGGGTTGGCCCAGGTGCTGATAGCGTGGATGATTCCTGTTTCAAGTAAAATCTCAGATGAGAATATATCTAAGCCTCAGCAAGATGCTCTTTCCTAAGCTTCAGCTTTCTGGCAACACAAAAATGACCTCAGTCTTAAAGTTCTACACATGGGGACATAATACCTGAGAGTTTGGATGCTCTTGAGGTAGTGGCATGGAAAAGATTCAGAGGTGAGAGATTACTATCTGACACTTTAATTTTGCATTCATAAAGCTCTGCTCAGGAGAGGTTAAATATCAGACCAGATCAGGGTCTACTAAGAAGTTATTCAGTGTTCCTTTCAATTACCACATCAAGGTGTGTCAGATTTTCCCATTTTGGAAAATGACTTTCGTTTGTCAAACAGTGAAAGTGTAGAATCCAGTCAGACAACTTCATCAATTGATATTTTGTTAACTAGGGAAAAGTATTATTATATCACTGCAGGGTTGGTTACAAGGAAAGCAGAGGATGGACCTGAGCATTTCCTTATGCAGTTGAAAGCATCCTGGGGCTAGCACAATATATGTAGCATCGAGAGGAGAGGAAGGTGGGAGGAGAAAGGGTGAGTGAATTCAGCACAGTGGCCGGGTAGGTGTTTCATCAGTTGTAATTCATATTATTATTTTTATCATTATCTTCATTTTATCATTATCTTCATCAGCATTGTGATAGGTATAGCCACTTTAGCTAGTATCACTACTATAACAAATCATCTGCTGTCCAATACCCACTTCTGTAGCCAGTGTCTGACACCTGAGCAGCTTCCAGGCAGGGCTAGCTCTCTTCTTACTGATAATCTGAGTACGTTTCTTTCACCATTATACCCTTGAAATTTTGTCAATTCAGACAACTTATACTTTTGTGAGAATACTATTTAATGTCTTTGGATAATATTCCTATATCGAAAATGAGCCTTAACTTAAAGCAAAAATGATGATGATGAAAATCTTTGAAGAAAAATATATGGTGTTATTATATGAGGGTCAGTATTTAGTAGACACAAGGGTAAAGGAAAGCATTAATGCTGTTGGTTCAAGCAAAAGACAAGGGAGTGGTACTGTAGCTCTCTGGCTGTAATCTTCTTTCACTTCCTGTAGGCCATATCAGCATGGTGCAGATATGTTGGCAGCTATTTCCCAGGTGTTGAATGAATGCACCAAGCCTGATCAAGCTACTCCAGCAGCCTTGGTGTTACAAGGTCTTCATGCACTCTGCGAAGCTGAGGTAGGCTTTTTTTTTTTTAATTTACTGGGATGACATTGGTTAATAGAATTATATAGGTTTCAGGGGTACAGTTCTACATAATAGATCATTTGTATATTGTATTGTGTGTTCATCATCCCAAGTCAAGTTTCTTTTCATCACCGTTTATCCTCCCTTCACCCTCTCCTATTTCCCCCACCCTCCTGAAGTAGGCTTTTTTTGAATTGGTATGTGTGATTTCTAAACAAATTATATACAAGGTATATTAGTTACAAGAATGTAAGATTAGATTCAATTAACTGAACATTTGAATATTCATTCCCAGATTTTTGGTTGCAAGACTGAAAGCAAGACCTTCTACTTTAGGCATTCTTTGTAGAGGGTAGCCTTGAATTATATGGTTATATAGCCATTCTCTGGAGAGGCTTATTTACTCTCTATTTTTGTTAATATAGAAGGGGATGTTTTGCTTATAGGAGAACTCTTGAATATATTTGCTTTTTAGTTTCATGATTAGATAGCCTTACAAACAGATGAGTTGAGGAAATTGGCATCTGTTAGTGGTAGTTTTATAGCCAGAAAAAAATTACTGAAGACTAGCAAAGGAAGCTTTCTTTCCTACTGGTCAGATTGGGTGGATCGATGTTAGAACTCAACTTCTACATCATTTTCTGAGCTTTATACAATTCCCCAAATTACAGCACAGCAGAGAATCTTTACTGTTTTGGAGAAATGTGGTAATTACATCAGTGATAATTCATTGATTATACTTTGGTTTATGACAGTGAACACAATTGTAGTTTTGTTACTGAACAGCAGGTGGGGGTCCTGCTGCCTGCTGCCCAGCACCACCTTCTAGGCAAAATTCTGGAGGCAAAAAGATTTGGTGATGAAGAAAAGGAGTCTTTATTCAAAAGCTACACAATTTTGGAATAACAGCTTTCCACATGCATTAGTCACTTAAGTCTGTTAATTAAGGCTAAAATCTTTAACTTGTTAGTTATACTTTAATTACTTAAGTCTGTCAATTAAGGCTAAACTCTAACTCTTTAGTTATACCCTTAATCATGTAACCCTCTCAATTAAGACTAAACTCTTTAATTCTTTAGTTTCCCTATCATTCCCCCTGTTGCTTTTTAATTATCTTATTTCTATAGGATTAGTATACAAACTAAAACAACATAAGATACAAAAGCTATACCATTTTGGAAGAATGGTAGGTTTCTGCCTCAGAGCCTGCCCCTCTAGGACACCTGAAGAAGAATAAGCCTGCCACCCTGCCAGGTCAGCCAGACCCTGGGCTGTGCCCAGAGTTTCTTCTCCCATCCCAAACACTCTCTCTTGGGAAATGCAGGTAGCTGCAGCACAATCCTCTGGGCATCCTCAAGGAAGAGCCAGACTCTGCCCTCCTTTTATTTTAAATCTTCTGGCCCATAATTCCATGCGCTTCAGAGGTATTCAGCTTCTCAGCTAATCCCATCCTAGAATGCTTATCTTTACCTCAGGCAACCTCCTCCTGTGGCCCCTCTCTGCCCCTCCCCAGTTATCTGATCAGATCTCTGTATCAGTTTTTTAGAGAGTGAGACTTAAGTAGAATTCTTTTAGCTTATGGTAATTATTCTGGATTTGATGATAATGGATATAGTTTAATAATGCAAGCAGTGACTGTATTGAGTGTTTATAAGCTCATGTCCCTGGGCTAAGTAAGCACTTTTAATTTATATTCTTCAACTCTGCAATATAGGGATTATAACACCATTTATTAATGAGGAAAAAGTAGGTTAGGTGTTTACTCAGGGTCTGGGTATAAGAGTAAACTAATGCTCTTCTGGGTAAACACTTACTTTAGCGGGTGTCATCACATGCCTGCTAAAGTAAGGAACTGATGTTGAACTGATGTGTATGAAAGGTGGGGTTTTTATTGCCCAGTCATTGGCAAAGTTTTTAGGGTTCCTAGCAGAGGACTATTGCAGCAGGGAAAATACTACACATTACCAGGGACTTGTATTTTATTACTTCAATTCCAGTCATCTAGAATTGGGAAGTATCACTTTAATCATTGTTATTTTCATAAAACCTGATTTTTAAGTGTGTTTTAAGAGAAGTTTTGAGAGAAGAAAGAATTTCATATAAGAACCTCCAAAAGGTGACCACTGTCACCATTTTGGAGTATTTCCTTTTCATTAGTTTTTTCCAAACAGAAATCAATTTATTTCTGAAATTAACTTTTCCCCCTAACAAATAGTAATTTTGTAGTATTGGGTCTGTAATTCCGTTGTGTTCTCCATCTGTCCTCCGCTGTTCCTCTAAGGCTCTGTTGTCCATTGATGCTCAGTAACTCCTAAGAGATTCTCAGAGTGTAGTACCGTATTTTGTCATTCTGTTTCTTTAAGATATTCATTGTAGTTATTACCAGAGATATGAAAAATGTTCTCTAGTGTGGTGGAAAGCATTTTTTAGGTGGTCATGGGACAATACCTGATATGGAACATTTATTGGTGTATCCTGTCTAACTTTAACTTCCTGAGTCTCTATTTCTTCAAATCAGGATAAAATGGTATTACACACGCAAAAAGAACTAGCATGGCCCTGGCTGGTGTGGCTCTGGATTGAATGCTGGCCTGGGAACCAAAGGATCATCAGATCAATTCCCAGTCAGGGCACTTGCCTGGGTTGCAGGCCAGGTCCCCAGTAGGGGCTGCTCAAGAGGCAGCCACACATTGATATTTTTTCCCCTCTCTTTCTGTCTCCCTTCCCCTCTCTAAAAATAATTAAAATCTAAAAAACTGGGGAAAAAAAAAACCTTGCATAATTTGTGCCCCTATAGGTGCTCTTTAGATGTTGAACTTGCTTCTGAAAAATTGGTACATAATTGGATATAGTCAGTGCCATCAGAAAGGTTTCAAGCAGTTTGGTTTTTTTTAATCTTTCTCTTAAAACTCATATAATGATAGTGTCTTAATTTCTTTCTTCAAATACTATCCTATCCCTTCACCACTAAGGAAGCTCTTGGTACTTGTTTCTATACTTAACAGAGGCCATTGAGGATTGTTAAATATTTAGCCCCAAATCCATGTTCTCAATCCAAAGTACTACCTACAATAATAATTTTGAGCCCAAGTTTATAGTGTATTACTGTCTGAGGCCATCTGGGCTGCTATACCAAAATAAATATAAATCAAATGGCTTATTAACAACAAACATTTATTCTAAGAGTTCTAGAGTATGGGAAGTCCAAGGTCAAGGTATGGGCATATTTAGTGTCTGGTGTGGGCAAACTTCCTGGTTCATAGATGGTCATCATTCTCATAGACAGCTGTCTTTTCACTAACACCACACAGCAGAAGACGAAAGATAGCTCTCTGGAGTCTCTTTGTAAGAATACTAATCCCAATCATGAAAATTCTACCCTCATGATCTAATCACCTCTCAGAGATCCCATCTCATAATACCATCATCATGGGGATTAGAATTTCAATTTATGGATTTATGGATTTGGAGGGGGATATTGAATATTTAGCCTATAGAACTACCTCGCGCTCCCATTCCATTTGTCCTCTAAAGGAATTGAGGTATTTTACTTAATAAACCCTATTTTTCTTTTGATAGTTCAATAATTATTTGGTTAACGGCATTTCTGCTTCTCATTGTGTATCTCTCTCCCCTCTCCTTAATGTTATGAAATCCAAAATCAAGATATTTTTACCAAAATTCACTTTTAAGAAACTTCAACTCAAATGGTGCAAATGAAATAAAAATTCAACATGTTGTCTTTCTAACAAATAGATTCTAGCCCCTTTAAATCTTTTTTGTAATAAGGTAGACATTAATAAATCATAAAGCCATATCAGCACTCAGTTAACTTCATTTTATTGTGAGGAAGACTTATTTTTTATCTCATATTTTCATTTCTTTTTCTTGTTTAGAGGATGAACCCACTATTTTATTGATATTTACTAAAGATGGATATCATTATTTATCATGTTTTCCTCATAGATATTACTAGTGTCCTGAGTTATGGAATTTATTGAAACTGACGGCATCATTATTAATTTTGATGACAAAAATATTCTATGTTATGTTTGCTGATGAATAGCTTTATGTTCATCTGAGTAAGTAGAAATAATCTATTCTCCCTTGAAGAGCATAGAAGGTAATGATATATCTTTCTGTTTTAAGCCTTTCCAAGCTTCTTTTGTGTGCGTTCATTAGTTGTGAAACTGCTGTTGTTATGTCCTGTGATGTGTGTTAAAGTTGTAAAATACACACAATTCAGAGGCTCTTGCCAGGTCACATTTACTAATTTTGAGCTAATCTTTTGTTTTTTTTGCCAGCATGCTATCCACGGGAGCCAGCATGCGTTCTGTGAGGCTGTTTATTCTGTCTCCTAATTGATATCATGTGTGAAGCATCTCTAGCTGCCAAGAGTTTCAAGAATGAAAATATTCAGCATAGTCATAAATCTGTTTCCCAGCAGCATTTGGTAGTGATTTGTCTATTCACTACTCTTGAGATCCCTGACTATCAGATATAATTAAGAATACAAAAAAGACAGCCTAAGACAAAGAAATTTTAAAAATCAGTAAGGGTAAGAGAATAGCCTATCTTTAAGAAAATACCCCAGTTGGAAAACCATATAAAATTGGATTTTACTGGGCTTTCCCATCCTTACCTTTGTATAAAAAGTAGAGCTTTTTTTTTTTTTTAAGGTTGACAGTGGACTCTGCAGTTTTGAAAGTCACAATCATGAAATTCATTTGTCCCTAGTAGGATCAGATTGAAACCCCACAACTATAGCTGCTTAATCATTTATCATGATCACCAGTGAAAGGTTCAAAGGATGTATACCATCCACATGCCAACTCTGACAAGGTGAAGAAGATTGTGTGTGCAATATGGTTTTCTTTGGTCCTACTTTACTAAACAAAAAGTGGAGGGAGAGAGTCCTAGGTATCTTGATTGACAGAAAAGACAAGAATGCAGTTTGGCATTTTGGAATTGGAAAAGAGAATCTTTTCTTA